ACATCAACAACCTACATTATGCAGATGACATAACCTTGCAAGCAAAGAAAGCCACTGTTAGGTGCCTTCGAGTCAAGTACAACTCATAATAACTTTATTAGCAAATCTGAATACCTTTCTATCTGGTTCTTACCTCACAATCTGACACATTCGAGCCCACTGTTAGTCACTGTGTCAATTCACCTGGTATAGGGTCTTCCTCTTTTTCACTGTCCCTCTACCTTTCCAAGCATGTCTTTCTCCAAGGAATAACCCCTCTTAGAACATGCTCTAAGTATGCAAGATGAAGCTTTGCCATCCTTGCCTTCAAGGAACACTCTGGCTTCACTTTAAGACACCTGGGTTTTTTTGGTATTCCATAGGATATTCAGTAGTGTCCTCCAATACCACCACTCAAAGGCGTCATTTTTATTTGTTATCCATATTAATCATCCAGTTGTCAGATGCATAGCAAGTGACCAAAAAGACAGTGCCCTGAATCCTTAGCACCTGACCTGAGTCCTCAAGCTATCATCACTGTTAGTAATTTGGAGAGGTCCGTGATTGTACAGTTTTCCAGGGCACTACATCTCCTGGTGGTATCAAACACAGATTATGGATCCAAGCAAGATAAAGTCATTGACAGTTTCAGTCTTCATCTATCAAGATGTTGCTTATTGGTCCAGTGATGAGAATTTTTGTTTCCTTGATGTTGAGATACAGTGTTTGATCTTCTGCAGCAAGTGTTTCAAGTCCTCCTCACTTTCAGCAAGCAAGATTGTGTCATCTGCATTCTGAAGCTTATTGATGAGTCTTTCTTCAATCCTGGTGTCATATTCTTCCTATGGCTTTTCAAAGAATTTGCTCAGTACCTAAATTAAACGGTTATGGAGAAAGACTACAACCCTGACACACACTTTTCTTAATTTTAAACCATGTAGCATTCCCTTGCTCTTTTGATACAACAGCTTCTTGATCTATGTATAGGTTTCACATAAGCACAATTATTCTGAGATTCCCATTCTTCTCAAAGTTAGTCATAATTTGGTATGATACAGAGTCAAATGCCTCTGCAGAGTCAATAAAGTCCAAATAGACATTCTTCTGGAATTCTCTACTCTCAGCCAGGAACCATATATTATCAGCAATATATTTCTGGTGCCATGACTTCTGAATTCTGCTTGAACTGCTGGCAGTTCTCTATGTACTTACTGTTCTAGAAGATCTCTGTTTTGATTGCATATGATATTAATGATATTTTTTATAATTTCCACATCCTGTTGGCCCATCTTTCTTGGGAATGGGAACAAATATGGATCCTTTCCACTTGGTTGGCCAAATAGCTGTCCCCACATTTCTCAACATACACTGGTAAGCACATCATGGGCTGCATTTCTCATCTGAAACATGTAAGTTGGTATCGCATTGATGCCTGGGGACTTATTTTTTGCTAATGCCTTCATTGCTGCTTTAACATCTTTCATTACCATTGGCTTGTAGAGAATGAAGATGACATAATTACTGAAGAAGTTCAGAGAATACAGTCATCAATAGGGATCACATCTCAGTATCTTTTGTTGTTGTTATGTGTCGAGTCATTTGTGACTCATAGCAACCCTATATACAACAGCCCTAAACCCTGCTCTATCCTGTGCCAATCGCACTGCCTCTGACAAACCCATCCCAATTACCCCAGTCACTGAAATCAATCCATCTCATAAAGGGTCTTCCCCTCTTGCGTCATCCTTCCGGCCTCCCAAGCATGATGTCCCTCCCCAAGGACCTGTCCCTCCTTGCAACATGCCCAAATTATGTCAGACGAAGCCCCAGAATCCTTGCCTCCAAGGAGTTGCTTGGCTTAATCCTCTCAAGGATGAATCTGTTTGTTTTCTTGGCAGTACATTCAATACTCTTCTCCAGCACCACAGCTCAAAGGCATCAATTTTCCTTCTGTCCTCCCTAGTCATTGTCCAACTCTCTGATACATAAAAAGTGATTGCAAAGACTATGGCCTGTATCAGGTGCACCTTAGTCTCCAGAGAGACACCGTTGCTCTTGAGTACTTTAGAGAGGTCCCTAACAGCAGATTTTCCCATCGCAATATGTTTTTTGATTTCCTGACTGCTGGAGCTGAGCAAACTGAAGCTGTGAACAATCTCAATCTCTTCGCCATCCATCCTGATGCTATCAATTGGTCCAGTGATGAGAATCTTTGTCCTCTTGACATTGAGCCTCAGTCCATACTGAAGGCCGCAGTCCTTGACCTTCTACAGCAAGTGCATGAGGTCCTCCTCAGTTTCAGCGAGCAGGGTTGTGTCATCTGTATAACGCAGATTGTTAATAGATCTTCCACCAATCCTGATGCCACAATTCTCCTCAGAGAGCCCAGCCTCCTGGATAATCTGCTCTGCATACAGGTTGAAAAGGTACGGAGACAGGACACATCCCCGGCGTACACCCTTCCCAATTTTGAACCATGAAGTGTTACCCTGCTCTGTTCTGACGACTGCCTCTTGGTCCAAGTATAGGTTTCACATTAGCAAAATTAAATGTTCTGGGATTCCCATTCTTCTCAGAGTCAGCCACAGTTTGTTATGATCCACACAGTCAAAAGCCTTTGCATAATCAATGAAACACAGATAGACATTCTTCTGGTATTCCCTGCTTTCAGCTAAGATCCATCTAACGTCAGCTACAATATCCCTAGTACCACGACCCCTTCTAAACCCAGTCTGGACTTCTGGCAATTCTCTGCTGATGTGCTGCTCCAGTCGTTCACCACTAGACAAATGGGCAACGTCATGATAGATGGAGAAAAGACAACAACTTCATTTTGCTTGGATCCACAACTGCAATATCCACAGCAGCAGAAAAAGTAAAAGGTGTATTGCATTGGGGGAATCTACTGTTGAGAATCTCTTTATAGTGCTAAAAAAGCAAAGATGTCATTTTAATGACTGCAGTACATCTGACCCAAGTCATGATATTTCCACTGGCTTTCTAGGCATCTAGAAGTTGGACAGTAAATAAAAACTAAAAAAACAATTGATACCTTTGAATTGGCAAAGAGTATTGAATACATCATAGGCTGCTAAAAGAACAAACTTAGAGGAAGTGTATTCACCATGTTGATAGGAGAGGCTAGTCTCTGGAAAAAGGCATGATGCTAGGCAAAGTAGAGAGAGAGAGGAAGACCTTCAGTGAAATGGATTGAAACAGTGACTGAAACAGTTGCCTTGAGTATTGCAGAGACTGAAAATGGCACAAAATAAGCCAAGGTTCAGCTTAATTTTTCATAGAGTTGTTTAAAATTATAGGGGACTTGACAGAACCTAACAATACTTCTTTTCCAAGGTAATTACAACTTTGTAATTTTTTCTATTGTTTTCGAAGTTTTTTTCTTCCTCTGTAGTCTTCTTTTGCATGTTTTATCTCCAGAAAGTTCACTGTATTCAAAGAAGTACTTAATTGTATAGGTAATAAAATTTTATTATGTGACTGCATATGTAAAGGCATGCTAATATATATAAATGACAAAGATTTGTGAACTTTATTAGAAATATATTAATAATACATGAGAGAAAAGGCGTAAGTAAAAATTAAATGTAGAGGGTTTGTTAATACGTTTTTGGCTATCAAAGTGACATCAAAAGAGATGAAAGGACTACAGAGATGCTGTACCAAAATATTGGCTGACACTGAAATATCTCAGGAAGGACTATATAATCAAGAGCCAATGGTAATGAAGGAAGAAGTTCAAGCTGCAATGAAGGTATTGATGAAAAAATAAAAACCCAGCAATCAATGACATACCAATGGACATGTCTGAACTAACAGATGCCGCCCTGGACATGCTCACTGGTCTACGCCAGGGAATTTGTGGAACAATTGCCTGAAAGAGAACCATATTTGTTCCCATTCCCAAGAAAGATGACCAACAAAAAATGGAAATTATCAAAATATGCAAGCAAAATACTGAAGATTATTAAAAAATAACTAGAACAGTACATAGACAGAGAACTGCCACAAGATCAAGGTGGGATTTAGAAGTGGTCGTGGCACCAGGACATCACTGCTGATGCCAGATGAATCTTGACTGAAAGAAAAGAATATCAGAAAAATTTCTATTTGTGCTTTATTGACTATGCAAAGACATTTGACTGTGTGGATTATAAGAAGTTACTGCTAACATGAAGAATGGGAATCTCAAGAGCACTTAATTGTGCTCATGTGAAACCTATACCCAGACCAGGAGGCTGCCGTGCAAACAGAGCAAAAGAACACTACATGTTTTAGAATTAAGAAAGGAGTGTGTCAGGTTGTATTCTCTCTTCATACCTACTCAATCTATTTCCTGATCAGATTATTTGAGAAGTTGGAGTCTATGAAGAGGACTGTGGCATTAGAGCAGAGGAAGATTGATCAATAACCTGTGCTATGCAGAAGACACAAACTTACTTGCTGAAAGTGAGGACTTAAAGCACTTGTTGCAGAAGATCAAAGAATACAGCCTTTAATATAGACTGCATCTCAACATAAAGAAAAAAATTCTTCCCATTGGACCGATAGGCAACATGAGGATAGATGAAGAAAAAACTGTCACTTTCCCAAGGTCTAATGGTTGTCTGTTCAATTTTATTTAGAATTTTCCAAAATGTCAACAATATGCTTTCAATAACTAATTTTACAACTTGGAAATTTAATGTCATTTTATGCTACAAAGCTTTATTTACATATTTCTTTAGAATGTACTTCAGTTGTTCCCATTGCAAATATAAAATGACAGCCAATAGGTTAGATTTACAGAGAACAGAGGAAAAAGAATTCTACAGTATCATATATACAGTGCCATTAGTGGTTGTTATTTTTATAATCTTCTTTTGGAGCAATCTACTAAGTTTTGCTGATTATAAATTTCAGAATCACATGGTCTTTGAGAGTAGAATTCCAAAGAAAATCAAAGGTATAGCAGTCCAATCTATTATATAGGTGTCATTTGACAGTCTATGTGTAACTGCAAATCATTTTCCTTTTTTCCCCCCAAAAATACTGGATGAAGAGGAAACATGATTTTCACCACTACTGTACTGCTCATATAAAGTCTGAAATAGAAAAACAAATTTTAAAATTCAATGTATTACCAAATTAAAAATAACTATTCTATCATGCATTTATTATTATTATAATTAGAACTAAGATAATTTTAGAGCTAAGATAATTTTAAACATCCAATTGTTCTTTCCATTAGAGGAATGTAACAAATACTATTAGTTAGCATATATACTAATCTTCAAAGTTTTCTGGATCTCTATTACCTTTACTTAAATAAGTTCTTCTCTTAAAATTTCTATAGTGTAAGACATTAGCAAACTTTATATACACTCTCAGCTTCTATGTAAATTAAAATCTCAATGGAAAAAAACCCCCAAAACACCCTGATCTCATACTGTTACAGGAACAAGCACAATTAAGTATATTAAAATCTACAAATTTAAAAACAGATCAAAGGCTGATCTCAAATCTAATTTATTAAGATGGCAGAAATTTTGCCTTCAAAGGTAACTAATCTACCTGAATTTTATTTACAAAAGGATATAAACACTGTATTGACAGAAATGGAAAACCTGAAGGTATTAAATATAAAGCAAATTTACAAAACAAAAAAATTTATAAAAATAATTACTGTCCAATTGTAATTTCCAAAGCCCTTCAGAAAATACAAGAAAATATTTTTCTGACCTGTATAATGTAATAATGACTCTATAGTAAATTTTTTTCATAAATCTATCTAAGTTCTGACATCAATTATTGCCGTTATCCCTACCTAAAGAGCGAAATTTTTTAGTTTGAGATGTGTAATTTTATAGTAATGATGTAACCACGTTATAATTAGTAATGGTTCAGTTAGACTTATGGTTTGGTTAGGTAAATCACTTGGTATTTTGTGGTTTCTAGAAAATAACAATGAGGACTGGGAATGTACAACAATAAACATTGTTTTTTTCAAAGAGAAAAGGGAACTTGGAGTGGGGTTGGCAGGGAGGAAAATGTGCAACAATGAATGAATGAAAATCCAAATTCTCTACAAATTTTCATTAAAATCTCAAAAACAAACAAACAAACAAATTGTCAAAAAACCCCAAACAAGTATTGGAAAACTAAAGGCTTGAGACAATTTTTACTGAATTTATTCCAGTTGAGAATTGGAAATAAAGAAAACTTCACAATATACTTCCTAAATAACAATCCAGTTGGAATTATACTGTTATAGAGGAAGGATGTAAATCAAGGACATTTAATCATTAAGTATTTCAAATATGGAAACATTCACTCCAAAGATGTCAAGCAGATGATGGACTAGCTTTTCTACAGATCATTTCTTTCTTGAACTAATTCACTAAGCTGTCTAAGAGTTAAAATTAATAGAGACATAGAATAAGCATACTTACTCTAGCAGTTTTCAAAATGGAGTTGGGAGAATTCAGACCAACAAGTTGACTCAGAACATATTTCATCTCCTCAGTAGTTCCTTTACCTACCTGGTTGCCTATAAGATAAATGTAGTAACACATTGTTAGCCAATAAAAAAGAAGTAAGATGATTTGTAAGCAAATAAAGATTAACATTAACATTAAGATTAACAGCAAATACTCAGTAGTCTTATAATCCTATCACAGATGACTGTTGCTTAACATGTACAAGTAAAAGAAATGCCTTCAATTAAAAAAAGGCAATTTCATTTCTCTAGATTACAGAAGGATGGGAAACCTCCTCTATCAATTTACTGCCCTGAAAACTCACTGGAAGGTCAGCTATTAATGGAGGACACATGCTGGACAAAAGTAGTAAGTCAGTCTGTTTTTATCACAGTTAAAAATTAAAGGTCCGTTTAAATTTTTAAAAGACCCCAAAACCAACAAAGAAATACCTGGATGGGTTTGAATTTGAACATAAGGATGCACCAACAGCTCAGGAATCGATATCCTCTGCTTGGGGTCCCTTATTAAACAACACTGAAAATAAAGATCAATTTTTAAAGACAAAGTAAGTTTTCTCAATTGGTACTGAAATAGGATTTTCCCAGACTGTTCCATATTACAGAAATTGCTTTCCGAATATTCCATTCACATGGCAGTGGTAAGATTATTTTCCCTAAATCACTCTTGAAAAGGGCCCACATAGTCAGAAATTTTAAGCATCTTCAAAGTGAAATTAACATGTCTCATCAAGTAAATCCAGTGACTAATTCCTTTCATCACACTAGTTCTAAGTCAGTTATATCATTCCAATTATTGTATGTCTTTTAAAAAAAAAATCAGTTATATGAATTTCTCTCTTTCTAAAGGGAAATTAAATTAAGATTACCTTTAACACATCTTGAAGATCTTTCTCTGGAATATCAGGAAACACAATTTCATGATTAGGGTCAATAATTGCATGTAATTTAGAAATCTGATTAATTATATGTTGGAATGGTGTCTTCCCATAAGTCATATAATACAGAATGCATCCCAAGGACCAAACATCACTCTTAGGACTAATCTAAAAAAACAGAAAACAAATAGACATAATATATAAAGAATATTTTGTATTAGTAGAGCAAAACGATGTATAAACACATATACACCTTTTGAAAACTAAGACATACCTCACCAAAATGATGGTATTTTAAATCTCACATGCATGTGACCAAGTCAAACACTGATTAAGGTTAGACCAAGGAACTGATGCCCTTGAATTGTGATACTGGGGTAGAAAACAGAATAAAACAGATTTTCAAAAGAACAAACAATTCTGTCTTGGAGGAAGTATACCAATAAAACTCCATAGAGGCGAGAACTGTAATACTTCCACACACACCATGTTGTCAGGAGGAGGTTTGTTTTTGGGGAAAGACATCATGCATCAAGCAGAGGGGTCAGCTGAGAAGAGAAAGACCCTTAATGAGATGGGCCAGAATAAGAAACACCACAAGAAAAATCTGTTTAACTGCTAGTATCAAATTCAGAATAAAAATTCTAGCTTTAACTGAAAAGTGAGAATATTAAGTCAGTATTTAAATGCAGAGGTTAGGGAAATAATCTAAATAGAATACAAAACAGAAAGTAATAAAGAAAAGATTCAATATACAGGAAACAAAAACAGAATTGATCAGACAAAACCAAGGCCTAATGTTTAAGATCAACTAATTTTTTTAAAAAATTTTTTAAATTTTATTATTTTTTTGTATGTGTGCCATCAAATCTGATCTGACTGGTATAGGAGGAGACTGTCCCTCCTCCAGCAGAGTATCTGGTGGATTTGAACCAAGCTCCTCTGGGACTGCAGTGCAGCTTCTTGCCACTAGGTCACCAGAGCTCCCTAAGATCAACTAATTCTTAATAATAACCAAGGAAAAGAGAACAAAGTATTAAGAAAGAGAAGATAAATAAATTTTAAAAATTAATTTTTTAGTCATAATTTTATATGCTTTTTAAAGATAGAAGTTACAGCTTTCTGTAACTGGCTGTGATCAATCAGTTGTGGTTTCCACTGCACTCGGACCAGCCAGAAGTTACAGCTTTCTATGGAAGAGAATAGAATTTAGCAAATAAAAGCACATCCACTAGGTGGACACTGCACTAAGTATTTTAAATTCTTTCTCATTTGGTCTTAAATTTCTTGAAAAATATTTATTGTTTTTAAGCTCAATTTACCAATAAGAAAATTGTACAAGTTCATTCATTTGCCCAAAGACAGGGTGTTACAAAGGCAAGCCATTCCTTGAATGGTCCCAGGGCCTAAATAATGTGTACTTATACTCATTAGGTTATGTTGCTGCAGAGAAAAAAAATTGTTAAAGCTTCAGAGGTGCAAGCATTAGGGAGGACAAAACAACATGAGGCAAAGCTCACCGAGGTGATAGCTGAAGGATGCTTAAGTGTGAGAGTAGTCAATGGCATGGGCATGCCTAGCCCAGAAAATAGAATATACTAGTTGTACACAAAAATATAGTTAAAAACCAATATAGATAGATGTAAAATTAAACAAAATGGACTTTAAAGGATTTAAATTTGATGTTACTTTTAGGTGTCTAATTCTGAGATAGGCTCTGTTGCTGGGAAGAGTGAAAGGTCAGCAAAGGAGAGAAAGGTGTCGATTGGCTGGGTTGACATGGTGACTGCTAAAATGGGCTCTTGTGTGTCAGGAAGTGTGAGGATGGCGCAGTATGGAACAGAGTTCAGATCTGTTGTACATAGAGTCACTATGAGTTGTACTCGACTCGAGGTCACCTAACAATAGTAACAACAACTATGAGATAACTTAGTTTTTAATTATGAAACTCAGGGCACAAGTCTCGTAGGAGTATATTGCTCAGTGTCGGTATAACAAAAGTACACCATCTTTTTAAAAAGAAAACCGGTATTAAAACAATAAAGAATGGAAAATAGAATCCCACTACAATCAGATAAGGTGGCAAGGTCTTTGCAACAACCTCGTGATTTAGAAGTGACCCTCAGGGATCAAACAAGTTTCTCCAGACAACCGTCTATTCCCTACAGGTATTAGACGAATAGAGGGTAAGAAATCTTCACCATACCTTTGATTTTAACTTCCCATTTTCTCTTGAGGAAGACATATCTTTGATAGCTTCTGGAGGCATATAATTAACAGTGCCAACCTAGTTTCAAAGTTACAGAAAACAGAAATTAATTAAAATGCTTAATTTTGTTTTAGATTTTAAAATGCTTAGATTTTTAAAATTTTAGCATATGTCTGATTTTTTGAAATTCGTATAAGTTTTACTATTTTACCTAAAAAAATCAGACTAATTTTTTAAAATGTGAAGACATCTATTAAATTTCTGTATATCACTCATGCTCTCTCTCATTGCTGTTGAGTTGGAACCAACTCACAGCTGACTCTTCACTGGGTTTCCTGAGGCTATAAATCACAGCAAAGTATGCAATTACTCAGCATTCTCCTATGGAGTCACTGGCGGACTCAGACTCTCAGAGGAGCAGCCTTTGGATTAGGGTGCAAGCCCCTTAGGACTATGCCATTAGAGCTCCTTCACAATATTAGTGAAATTATTTAGAAAACCAAATTCTATCAGTATGCTGAGTTTGTATATTGTTATAGAGGGTAACTGATAATGTCTGCCTTAAAATGTGCCTACTCTAAAGTTAAATTGTCATAAGCTTCATAAGCTTTGAGGGACTTGATGAGTCATTTCTACTTTTATTAGACTGAGAATTTTCAAAATTTGACAACACAACTACTGTGCAAATAAAAACAATCTGGTAAGCTCTTGTTCAAACTGAGAGGGGATGGACATCTAAATTAAGACAGAGTTCATTTAAAAAAGTGCTCATGGATGAGGTCGCTTTATGATGCACTCATTTATTTACTTTATTTGGTTCTGTTTTTGAACAACACAGAGTACTTGGGGTCTTAACATAGAATATTATCATTAAGCTGACATATAACTAAATGTTCAGTCATACTATGGATATTAAGAGAAGTGATAATTAAAGATAATTGTTTGAGGGGCATGCTGTTCATTCCTTATTCTTAGGATTATCACAGATTCCCACCAGGAGTTTGTTTTCATGAAACTTATTATCTTGGTGTCTTTGCAATGACCTTTTGCACTCTTCCTGGATGATACCCTTGATATCCTCCCACAACTCGTCTGGTCTTCACTCATTAGTGTTCAAGGCCTCGAACCTGTTCCTGAGATGGTTCTAAAATTCAGGTGGGATAGACTCAAAGTCATATTTTGTTTTCCGTGGAATTGATTTAATTTTCCTCAACTTCAGCTTGAACTTGCATATGAGTAGTTAGTTGGTGGTCTGTTCCACAATCAGTCCTGGCCTAGTTTTCACAGCTGATACTGAGCTCCTCCAGCAGTTCTTTCCGCAGATGTAATCGATCTGACTCCTATGCATACCATCAGAAGAACGGGATTCCCAGAACACTTGATGATGATAATATGAAACCAATACTTGGACCAAGAGGCAATTGTTGGAACAGAGCAAGGAAACACTGAATGGTTCAAAATTGGGAAGGGCATTTGCCAGGGATGTGTCCTATATCCACACCTTTTCAACCTGTATGCAGAACAGATTATCCGGGAGGCTGGGCTCTATGAAGAGAAATGTGGGGTTCAAGACTGGTGGAAGATCTATCAATAATCTGCGTTATGCAGATGACACAACCCTGCTTGCTGAAAAAACTGAGGACATGAAGCGTTTGCTGCAGAGGGTCAGGAACTGCAGCCTCCAATATGGATTGAAGCTCAATGTCGAGAAGAGATTCTCACCACTGGACCAATTGGCAGCATGAGAATGGATGGTGAAGAGATTGAGATTGTTCATAGCTTTAGTTTGCTTGGCTCCACAGTCAACACACTCTTGGCACCAGTAGTCAGGACATTAAAAGACATATTGCCATGGGAAAGTCTGCTGTTTGGGACCTCTCCAAAGTACTGAAGAGCAATGGTGTCCCTCTGGAGACTAAGGTGTGTCTGATACAGGCTATGGTCTTTGCTATCACTTGTTATGCATCACAGAGTTGGACAATGACCAAGGAGGATAGCAGGAGAATTGATGCCTTTGAGCTGTGGTGCTGGAGATGACTATTGAGAGTACCATGGACTGCTAGGAAAACAAACAGATTCACCCTGGAAAGGGTTAGTTAAACCAGGTGGCTCCTTAGAGGCAAGGATTCTGAGGCTCCATCTAACATACTTTAGACATGTTGTAAGGAGAGACCAGTCCTTGGAGAAGGACATCATGCTTGTGAGGGTGGAGGGACACTGCAGGAGGGGAAGGCCCTCTATGAGGCGCATTGATTCAGTGACTGTGGTAATCAGGATGGGAGTGTCAGAGACAGTGCGATTGGCACAGGACAGAGCAGAGTTTAGGGCTGTTGTACATAGGGTTGTTATGAGTCGCAAGCGACTCGACTGCACATAACAACAATAATAATTTGGTGTGATTGCTTTAGTTTTATTGGGAGAAATGTTTTAAAATTTTTAATAAAAATGCTGATGATAAATAAGCTAATATAAAAATTTAAACCCCAAAACAAACAATATGCTGATGAAAACATTATTATTGACATTCTCAGTAAATAATCTTAAGCAAATAATTCATTGTTTATAAGAATAAAAATTACTTCACAGAAAACAAAAAATAAGAAACTACAGTTCTCTCTGTGGTTGGTAACAGGAAACTTTTAGCTAAAATTTGATGTAATTTTAGATCATGATCAATATGATTTCTAAGGCAAATATTAATGGTCCTCTATTATACATATTGGTAGACAAGAAGTTTATGTCCACAGAAGAAAGATGGACAATCTCCTCTCATGCAATTTACTGTTTCTGAAAATCCAATGGAGGTCACTTAGGAGTTGATTCCAATTCAATGGCACATAACAATCACAGGTATAAAAAGATCATTAAAAATGGCTAGATTTTATTTCTGATTTTCACTTTCTACTGTCAATTATCAGGGAGACTGATAGCCTAATGGTAAGGAACTGTGTTGTCAACTCAAAGGCATGTGGTTCAAATTCACCAGTTGCTCCACAAGAGAAAGATGGGGGGTCAACTCCCACGCAAATTACTACTTCTGAAAATGTGCTGGAGGGTCAGCTCTAAGTTTGTCATTACTTGAAGTACATAAGAATAATAAATTATATTAACAGTAATTTTGATTTGCACTGGGAAAATGTACTGTCAGGGACTTTTCCAGAGTACTGAAGAACAACGGTGTCAGTATGGACACTAAAGTGCGCTTGATTCAGGCCATCATCTTCACAATTACTTGCTATGCATCAGAAAGCTGGACTATGACTAGGGATGATAGAAGGAGAACTGATGCCTTTGAGCTGTGGTGCTGGAGAAGAGTAAACAAACAGCTCTGTCCTAGAAAGGGTGAAACCAGGCTGTTCCTTGGAGGCAAAGATCTTGAAGCTTCATCCAACATACTTTGGGCATGTTGCAAGCCTGATATACTTGGACCATCATGCTTGGAAGGGTGGAGGGACAGTGTAAAAGAGGAAGACCCTCAAAGAGATGGATTGAGTCAGTGCCTGGGCTAATGCAGGTAGGTGTGCCAGAGATAATCAGGTTGGCTCAGAATAGAGTAGGTTTTACAGTTTTTGCACATAGGGTCACTATGAGACCCAAGCAACTCAATAGGGCATAACACAACAACAACAACAACAACAACAATAACATCATGCATTTCTTTAGTGTGGTAACCAATAAAATCAATGAAAAAAAATCCTACCTGAGAATCTTTAACAATACTTGTTGTGTCTGGTTGCATTTGGTTTGCAATCCCAAAATCGATTAGTTTTAGCATTCCATCAACAATCAGAAAGTTAGCAGGTTTCAAATCACTGTGAACAATGCCTTTAAAATAAAAGTCATAGTAATATTAAACAATATAAAACATTCTAAAATTAAGATCGTTCACAATCTATATGCTGAGTTGGTACCTTCAGTTAGTCAAACCAATTTACTTTCTAATTTATTCAGTAAACACATACTACCTGCTAGGTGTAACATATTATTTAAAGTACTCTGCTATTACTGTTGTTGTTAGGTACTATCGAGTCAGAACTGACTCACAGCTGACCTGCCAGTAGAGATTCAGAGGCTGTAAAAAAACAATAGGAGACTGCCTATCTTTCTCCCAAGAAACAGTTAGTGGATTTGAATCAGGAACCTTTGGGTTGGCAGTACAATTCTTTTCACTCAGTCACCAAGGTTCTCTGCTCTGCAAGTAGTGAATGATTGTATCCTCATAATAAACAGGTTTATCCTAGAGAGGGTGAAACCAAGCTGCTCCTTGGAGGCAAGGATTCTGAGGTTTCATCTGACACACTATGGGCATGTTGCAAGGAGGCACCAGTCCTTGGAGAGGGATATCATATTTGGAAGGGTGGAGGGACAGCACAAGAGTGGAAGACCCTTGATAAGATGGATTGATTCAGTGACTGGGGTAATGAAAGCAGGTATGTCAGGGACAATAAAGTTGGCACAGGAGAGAGGTTTCAGAGCTATTGTACATAGTGTCACAAATGAGTTGCAAGGGACTTGACAGAACAACAACATTACAGTATTATTATCATCTTAACTTCTGAGTAGGTTAGTAGTATTCCAATTTTAAGAATCAGAGAATAAGGCAAAAGAGTTTAAATTATTTGTTCAAGAATACGCAGTGTGTTTAAGAGGACCACAAAATGAAACCAGACAGTCTGGCTGCAGAGTCCATGGCCTCACTAGGATTCACTGCCACTAGAGAGCATCCTTAAGTTACATTATCAGATGACAAGACACTAATGTTCTTGGCATGTCTATGGTCTTAATTTTGATCACTGGTGTATTATCAGCTAATTTATAAGAAGGTGGACAAAAGGAAGAGATAAATTACAATTATCAAGGTTGACAGAATTAATATGAAGCAAAAACTAACCTAGTTGGTAAAAAAAGAATGAAAGCTCTCCAACAAGACACACAACACAAAATGATTAGGAGAACAAATTAAATAAACATTTTATATTTTTAGAATCGCTAAGTCGGAAAATCTTAAATCTGCTATAATCCCAGTATTTGCATATAAAGATTATATAGACTTGTTACATCATGAAAGAGATACTTTCCATAACGGATGTGAGTGTCTTACATATCCTAGATTAACAATGCTTTAAGAAGTAAATGTTGTTGTTCCTTAATCTTTTTTAAAAAATGCCGGGCTTGCCTACTGATATCATAATTCTCCAAAATGAGACTATTTAAAGAGTCATTATAATAAGATATACAAAAAGATTTAAAAATACCATGTTGATGAATTGTATGAACTGCCTCCAACATATTTTTCCAATAACTCTTTCTTTCCCATGGGTTGACAGACTTTTTCTTTTTAAGCCAACTATTAAGATCAATATTTCCGCACTCCATGACCATGTAGATATATCGGTCCGTGATTTCACTGTAGTTAAATGCAAAGAAATAAAAGAGACACAATAATAAATGAATGGTCAGAGTATATTACTTTTTACTAATTATTTACCTGAAAGATTATAGCCAACTCCCCCTCCCAAATAGTTCTCTTTTTGTAAATACTTTAAAAAATTCTTACTAATCATAAAGTCGGATGATCTTATCACTGTGTTGCTGTAATTTATTCAAATAAGCTATTTCATTCCGGTAGCTCTCAACAGTCTGGTTATCTGCTTCTTCTAAATTCACATATTTTATAGCAAGTATCTGTTTCTTTTCATTCAGCACCTGAAATACCTACATAACAAGACAGAGTCAGAATACATTATACATTCCTCATACATCACAACATAGTACAATTCAAAAGGAAATAAGTGACACAAGCAATTAAAGTTTCTATGTTCTGTTTATAAAAGGACAGAAATTAATCCTCTAATTATTATTGAGTATTTAAGAACTCATACTTATAAACCTAAAAATGCATATATCAAATTACAAGAAAGGCAATTTAAATTGCACATATTTTTATATCATTCTGTTTGATGCCTTAATCAGGGAAATAGTCTAAAGAATAAGACATTAAATAAAAAGATGTTGAGCAATTAGTTGGATATATCTATTGCCATCAAATGTGATCCTAAAGGACAGGCCATAACTTCCTCATAGGGTAGCTAAAACTATAATCTTTATAGAAGCAAATGACCATAGTTTTTTCCTCAGGAACATCTAGTGGGTTCAAACCACTGATTTTTCATTAGTAGCCAAATGCTTACTCATTTTGTTACCGGGGTTCATTTAGTGGAATAGATTGTTATTTTTTTATGGACTCAGAAGTAACTCCTATCTGAACCTATCTAACTTTAGGTTTTCAGAAGCTATTAATTACCCTTACACAGGAGACTGCCCATCTTTCTCCCTCAAAAAAGCTGGTCGATGCAAACCACCTGTCCTTGGGTTAGCAGTTCAACTTTTTACCCACTAGGCTACCAGAACTTCCTACTAGTTGAATATACAAGTAGAGAATTTAAAGAAAGAGGTCTAGACTGGATATAGAAGTGTGGGAACTGTCTCCATTTGTGGACTGTAAATATTATGACCTTTGATAAGGGTACTATAATAATGAGTTTAAAATAAAATGAAGAGGCCAAGGACTGGGCTCTGGGTTATTCCATTAATAAGATCAAGGACAAAATACTAAAAAGGAATGGTTAGTCAAAAAAGAGTTAAACTAAGATAGGACATCATTGAGGGGAGGAGTTCAAGGCAAGAGATGAGAAAGTCTTTGGAGAAAGGGTAATAGAGGCCCTTGTTGTTTGGGTGCCATCTCCTTGGAACGGACTCATAGTTGACCTTCCAGTGAGTTTTTAGGTGCAGCAAATCTCATAGGAGGAGACTGCCCATCTTTTCCCAAAGAGCAGCTGGTGAATAAGAACCCTGTGCCTTTGGGATTATAGCACAGCTTCTTTCCACTAACAAAAAGCTTCACAGGGTAAAAAGATAAAATTCAGAATAGTTTTATTCTTTTAAAAAAATATTTAAAACACTCACCTTACTTGAGCCTCCACTTCCTATCTGCTTCAATATGGAATAAATTCTTCCTTTAACTGTAATGCATTCATTTGTTGAAGAGGGTGTTAAAATCTAAATAATTTAAAGATACAAATAAACGTTCTGAGAACATACTAAAACAAACAAACCAAAAAACCCAAAACAAACAAACCAGGAAGTATTCGAATTGGTTTCATTTTAAAACATAATCTTAATTTGAAATTTGTTCAGATATTTTTAAAACATTGACTTGTTCTATAAGCTATGCTAAAAAAAAATTTTTGGAATACACCCAAAGAAAATTAGAACTGAGACACAAATAGAGATTTGTACACTACTGTTCACAGAAGCATATTCACTATTGCAAGAACTCAATCTCATAAAGACAAATACAGCATAAGACCATTATTGTAAAAATAGAAGGATAACAAGTAAAGCGTGTACGGGGGCTCTAGGGGGGAATGGACGGGAGCAGAGGGGTGGGGATGTGTAGGGGAGGAATCACAGGGTCACAGTTTGGTGGGTGGAGGGAAGGGGTAAAGGAAATGGGAAAGATGTAGCAGGGACCTGAAAAGATGGGGTAATGGTGGACATAGTTCAATGGTGATTCATTTTATGAAACACAATATATAAACGGGAAGAAAGTGGTGTGAAAAAACAATGCATTCAACTTTGTAAGTGAACTAGCACACTAAAAAAACATAACAAAAAACCCCACAATATATACGAATGATTGTATGAAACATGTCAATGAAAGTGTGAAACACATACACAGAACTACTATGTACATGAATGAAACACAATTATATGAATAATTATTTGTAAATCAATAAAAAAATTTCTATCACTTAATTATGAAATATTCATGGATTTTATTACTGTCTTATTTAAGGAATAGGAAAGGTTCAATGGAGATTTGAATAGATGGGAACAGGTCAATGGTAATTAATGAAAGAAAATATAATGTGTATGAATGCTCCCATTCCAAAGAAAGGTGATCCAAGAGAATGCAGAAATTATCAAACAGTATCACTGATATCACATGCAAGCAAGATTCTGCTGAAGATTATCCAAAAACGACTGGAACAGCATATCAACAGAGAACTGCCAAAAGTGAGGGCTGGGTTTAGAAGAGGCCATGGTACTAGGGTTATTATAGCTAAGGTCAGATGGATCTTGGCTGAAAGCAGGGAGTACCACAGGAATGTCTATCTGTGTTTCACTGATTATGCAAAGACATTTGACTGTGTAGATCACAACAAACTGTAGCTGACTCTAAGAAAAATGGGAATCCCAGAATACACGATTGTGCTTATGCAAAACCTATACCTGGACCAGGAGGCAGGCGTCAGAACAGAGCAACGAAACACTGCATGATTCAAAATCGGGAAGGGTGTGTGCCAGGGGTGTGTTCTATCTCCATACCTTTTCAATCTATATGCAGAACAGATTGTACAGGAGGCTGGGCTATATAAGAACAAATGTGGCATCAGGATTGGAGGCAGATTCATCAATAATCTGTGTTATGCAGATGAAACAACTGTGCTTGCTGAAAGTGAGGAGGACCTGAAGCGCTTGCTGCAGAAGGTCAAGGACTGCAGCCTTCAATGTGGATTGAAGCTCAACATTAAGAAAACAAAAATTCTCACCTCTGGTCTGATTGGAAGCCATCATGATACATGGCAAAGAGATTGAGATTGTTCACAGCTTCATTTTGTTTGGCTCCACAATCAATAATCTTGACGCCAGCAGCCAGAAAATTAAAGGACAAATTGCATTGGGAAAGCCTGCTGTAAGAGACCTCTCCAAAGTACTGAAGAGCAATGATGTCAGTCTGGAGAGTAAGGTGGTCTTTGCAATTACTTGCTATGCATCAGAAAGCTGAACAATGACTAGGGATGCTAGAGGGAGAATTGATGCCTTTGAGCTGTGGTGCTGGAGAAGAGTATTGAATATACCATGGACTGCTAAGAAAATGAACAGGTTTGTCCAGGAGAGGGTGAAGTCAGGCTGTTCCTTGGAGGCAAGGATTCTGAAGTTTCGTCTGACATACTCTGGACATGTTGCAAGGTAGGATCAGTCCTTGGTGAGGGTTATCATGCTTGGGAGGGTGGAGGGACAGTGCAGGAGAGGAAGACCCTCGATGAGATGGACTGATTTAGTGATTGGGATAATGGAGGTAGGTGTATCAGAGACAATGGGATTGGCACAGAATAGAGCAGGGCTCAGGGTTATTGTACATAGTGTCGCTATGAATTGCAGGTGATTTGATGGCACATAAAAAAAATGAATGATTCTATAAAATACAAAGTACATGTACAAAACTCAATGTCCATGAATGATCATATGCAAACAAACAAACAAACAAGTCATAGAGTAGACTTAAGCTATGCCTGACCTAAGTCATGGTACTTTCAGCTTCCTTATATGCATGTGTAAGTTAGACAATGAATAAGAAAGACTGAAGAATTGATGTCTTGAATTACAGTGTTGGTGAAGAAAACAAAATGTATCCTGGATTGCCAGAAGAAGAAGTCTGTCTTGGATAACATACAGTGAGAACACCCTTACAGATGAAGATGCTGAGACTTCACTCCTGCATGGTAGCATGTTATTAGAAGATATGAGGATATCCTGGAGAAGGATATCCTGATTGGTAAAGCAGAAAGGCTACCAAAAAGATGGCCTGCAATGAGCTGGAGCAAGACAGTGGTTGCAATATAGGCTTAAAAACACAGCAATATTATATTTACTGCATTGAAGTCTATGAGAGAGAGAATAGTTTAAAAGTATTATATTTTAGGGCATTATGTTTATCATAAGAGTACAGAATGAGGGTTGCAGAGTGGATTATATTTGGGGTGGGGTTA